ATGCATCTCTTCACTCACGTGGTTTGGACCTTTCTTGAAAAGACAATTGTGCACAGCACACTGACGAACTTCCATTGTGAGAGTTAGACCTGGACTGGCGCTAACCTCTTCAACCACGTGTCTGCTTGTGACAACGAAATTTTCCTTGGCTCCTTGACGACACATCTTGATTCCGAGTGGACACATTACTAGAGAATCATCGACGGAAAACAAATCTTCAGACTTGTGAAACTTGATTGTTCAAAATTAAAGGCTACTTGTAAGCCGATCAAATACTCGTCGCCAATGTCGTGTTCTCTACTATAGTGCTGTCGAGGGCCGAAGGAGTAGGAGAGACTAGACGTTCGTTGTCAAAGGACCAGACTGAACTGAGTTTATTCACAGCTTTATCACAGGGGTGGACAATACACAAGGATACAGACGGCCGTGACAAGACGACTGTGGCGCTATCTGTTGTCATACACAACAGCAGCGAGCGGGCGTCGGCGCTAGCATGCGTCCGAAAACGGCAGGTGGACGTGAGATGGAGCAGTAGCGCAGATAGAGCATCTCACTCGCACCTGTCGCTTTCGGACGCATACGAGCACAGACGCTCGCTTGCGGCTGGCGTTCGGCAGGCGGTAGGTGGACGTCCAGCCCGCTTCCTCTCCTACAGCGCATCTGTCTCTCTCACTCAGCTCGGTGCGGCCCGCTCAGATCGCCCAGTCTGAGACCCCTGCCCTTGGCCGAGAGTGTTATGCGCTCCACGCCCTAGCGCTCTCGCCACTCGGCTGTCGGCTCCACTTGCCAGCGGAAAGTTCAGAACTCGGTTCTGCTTTACGAGTCTTGGTCTCCCGGATTGCACGCGTTCAGTTCGGGTCAAGTCCACCTCCTCGACGCGCTGCAGCCCGGGTCGGCTCTTGGCCCAAAACACGGAAATTGACCACAAAAAGAGCCCCTTGGGCGCGCGGGGGTTAGGTTAGGCCCATTTATGGACCTTGTTCCGTGTTTTTGGCCAGAATTCGACCCGGGCTGCAGCGCGTCGAGGAGGTGGACTTGACCCGACCTGAACGCGTGCGATCCGGGAGACCAAGACTCGTAAATGAGGACTGAGTTCTGACGTTTCCGTCCACAGAAGCAGGCGACAGCTGAGTGGCGAGGACGCTAGGGTGTGGTCCGGAAACCGTCTGTTCAGGGATCGAATCCCAGCCGTGACACTTTTTTCCCGCTCTGCTGATCATGTTTTCGGGAGTCTGCGACAGCAGAGATGCGCATGTCGCCGGGAGCGAATCAACGGGGTAGCTATAGCTACAGTCGTGTAGCTACAAACAGGGACGCTTCCCTTCTGCTTACACGCACCCTAAGGCTTCGGATTTCATATTACCCAAAAAAGGATGTTCTTCAGTCGGGTCGGATTAAGCTGACTCTGGTCGCCGGCATTGTGGTCATAAATAGGAACGTCGTTTTCTACTGATTCATTCGACAAATTACGAGAGGTTGGCGCCTGCGAGACTCGGGGTAGGCCACCCCGCAGTACGCGCATGCACTGCACGCAAGCTGTTGCCTACCTACCAGGAGTTAAGAGAGCATGCAGTGGGCTGTTGGTTGTAGCTACAACAAAACTGAGCCGCTACTAACATGCACGTGGTGGGTCAGTTCAGCCTAACCAAACCAACGTTTGCATTCAACCGCCATAGAACCTCGAGAGTATGTTCTGACCACTATGGTTGGAAGCGGCTGATACAATCAGGGACGTGCGCAAGTGTTTTTCATCAGACCCTAAATTTTAGCCCCCCGCCCCCAAGCTATTTTCGATAGAGTCGGGATACAATTCTCGGTCATACCCGCCTGATCGGAAACACTAGCGTGTGCTCTCTCCCGAGACTTTGAGGTGAGGTGAGCAAGCCAAGCGTCGTCTACCACCCGGGCGGCCAAGCCCAAGAAATGGGGAAGTCCGACCATGCGCATGCGCACCGGTGAAATGAGACCGACAACTCTGGTACAGTCAAAGTTTCAACTGGTTTTGTAGAACCGTTCCGAGTTGGGCCCACCCACCTCTGCCTCTTATTCAGACCCAACAATTTTCGTGCAAAGCCCATCATTTAAATAAGAAAAATTTTCACACAAAAAATGTCTACTGAACTGTTGGTCCAGTTGGGCTCATTGACTTAGGAGTACGGGTCAAGAAAATTGAGATGTTCTCTGCCTCATGAGAATATATTGTTTTTTGCTGATTGGTTGGGAAATGGTTGTATCCCTTATTCTCTACTAACTGTGCACTGGACAAACTTGCAAAGTACCAGTGTGGAAAATAATCTCAAATGTGGATACAATTTAAATCAGTAGCTAACTTACAATAACAAACATTAAGCATTTGAAGCACCCTTCAAGAGATGTATTTTTACTTTCTATTTCCAAACAGAGATTTAAGAAAATCTTGTCTGCCTTCTTCACTTAGAGGGCCAGTTTCCTTTTGGTGGGCGACCTTATTCTTCTTCTTGATTTTCACACTAGTGTCGTTTAACAATTTAAGTTTTTTCTCAACAATTTCACTGTCTAGCTCCCGTTGTTTGTATTGGTGAACGATCTTCTCTGAATCAAGAGACTTTCGCAATTCTTTTTGTTGATCTGATTCCTTGGTTTGGCGTTTTGACAACCTTTCCCCAAGATCAACATTGTTTGAAAAGATGGTCGCTTCTCGTTTGGCCTGAGCAATCTCAGTGTTCATTCTCTGCTTGCGAACTGCACGCTCATAAGCAAGTCTCTCGCTCAAATGAACCCATTTAAAGCTGTGATAAATAAATTGGTTTGACATCATTAGTAATTAAGGTAAACATATTTTGACATCAATAACAGTGAAACTATTTGATTGAGGGTGTTAAATCTTACATACCGTGGTAGATATTTGATGTTCCATATAAAGTCATAGTATTTACTCCTTTTCCGTCCTCCAATTTGTTTATTATTTAATAGTGCAGCAACTTGTTTGGCTATTCTTTTCTTCTTGAACTCAATCCATCCTTCAGTGAAATGTTTGGCTGGTTTTCTTTTCTTTCGGACCTTATTTTTATCCTCCTCTGAAGACAAAGAATTTTTATATAGTTAGTAATATTACACCAAACGAACTCTAACCTAAAACATCACATGTGCGTCACAACATTTAGGGAAAATTGAGCAGATTCAATCTTTCGATACAGACGGCCGTGACAAGACGACTGTGGCGCTATCTGTTGTCATACACAACACCCTCTTGGCGCTAAGATTTTTGTTGTTGAACCCTAACTTACAAATTATGACTAGAATAAGATAACACAGACAATTAAATTGGCAGTTTAAGGAATGAATTAAAAACTACAAAATGGACAGTGGACTTGAATAAATTAACATAAGCTTGAACATCACGATGACGATATGAGCATAATCAGTTTTAACATTGACATACAGTTACACGCTTATTGGACACTTATCATTTACTTATCATCCCTCCCCTTGGCAAAGGTTTTTGAAAAAGAATAAATAATCACGGACACTTTACAACTTAGACAAGATTTTTTTTTAAACTTCAGAAACTCGAAAAAAGAGCTTGGCTGTTACCCTGAAAAGGATCAACGTTTGATTGGATTAAAAACGTACATGAACAGACAACAAAAGATTCACAAAATTCCTATTTTCTGGAACAAAGAGTTACTACAGTACCTAATAGGACAAGGACTTT